ATAACCCCCAAAATCAATCCCAACCTTCCTTTTGTGGTATTGAACCTTGTGGTAAAATTTCATAAAGATCCATTCACTTAAACTAAAGTTAGAGTGCGAAAACCAATGTGTCTTCGGACGACGACGACGACGCCAACGTCATACCAATATACGACCACAAAAATTTTTTTGCGGTCGTATAAAAAAAACACACAATGGTTTACTTTTATAAATTTTTACTTGGATGGAGAGTTGTCTCATTGGCACTCATACCACATCTTCTTATATCTATACACACCGGTTTTAGTTACTAAGTCCCGTAACTCAAAAAGTTTTAATCTTATTTTCACCAAAAAGTATACAGATCGTTTGACCATCATAAGAAACAACTATGTTAAGTTTCATGAAATTTGGATATGTCATTCTCAAGTTACGGTGCGACATGTTTACGCCGGACAGACAGATGTACAGACAGACACCGGACATTTGTATACCATAATACGTCCCGTCAAAAATTGACGGGCGTATAAAAATTTAAGTTCATCTTCATATCTCCAAAAATTGTCAACGAAAAACATTCTACCACCTTATCTCTGTATCTCATATGATACAATATTTCTTCACTTTCAACCATTAAATTTAAATATTAAAAAGGATCAGTAAGCTTTGCTTTGAATTTGTATATTCAACTGCTTCGCTGAGCGCAGCTGGATACGACCGCAGAGGTACAACCCTTAACAGTTGTGGCAAAAATGGACACAATATTTAAGCTTGCTACAGGTCTGAATTTGGATTGTAATTAAATATTTGACACATTATAGGTTTCTGACACAGAATAAATGTAGTCAAAGAACTTGAAATTGGATATATGATTTGAGATTATATTCAATTGAAGATTTCTTGCTGTTGTGCAATACACTGTGCTGTTGCGCAATACTTAAGTAAATCTGTTTTCAGACTAAATACAAAGAATTAGCAAAATAAATGATGACCCCCAATTTTTTTTTTTTTTAAATAGATAAATTCTTAAAATTGATAATTTCTTAAATCTTAACCAGTCCCCCCCCCCCCCCCCCCCCCACCTTCCTTTCCAAAATAAAGTTAGAAAACGGAAACAAAAAATTTGTACTCAATCTTAGTTATAAGGTAATGAATATTGTGTATAGGTTTCATAATGTTTGGTTGGGGCAAACTTAAGTTACAGAATGGAAACTAAAAATTTTACAATCTTTCAATTTATAAAGGGGCATAACTCAATAATGGTTAAAGTGACACTACCCAAATTCAACTTGATCTGTGTTTTATCAGTGGAAGTCAAAATTAAACATTGCATTATATAAAGCATTGATTGTAGTTGATTCAAAATAATTTTTGGACAAAGGAAGATAACTCAAATTTTAAAAATTACTTGATATTTAGAAGAAAATAAAAATTTTGCAATTTTTCCATTTATAAAGGGGCATAACTCTAGAACGGTTAAAGTGACGCCACCAAAATTCAAACTTGATCTGTGTTTTGTGGTAATAAGCATTGTGTACAAGTTTTATAACATTTGGTTGAGGCAAACTCAAGTTAGAGAACGGAAACCAATTTTGGGACGTTTGTACGTACGCAGACGGACAAGGTAAAACTTAATGCCCCCAGCGCTACTACGGGGACATAAAAAAAAATATTTGAAGAAATTTTCTTTTTGTAAAATGTGGTACAATTTAAGAGACATCCATACACTTGAACACAAGTTAGTGTCTGAAAACTAGAAAATTGCTTATTTTGACCCCCTTTTCCTAAACGGTTTGGGCAACTACACCCTAAATGAATCCCAACCTTTTACTTGTGGTATTGAACAATGGGGTACAATTTCAGAGCAATCAAATTACTTATACACAAGTAATTGTCCTGAAACTAGAAAAATGCTTGTTTTGGGCCCCTTTTTGGCCCCTAATTCCAAAACAATTGGGACCATCACCCCTAAAAACATTCCCAACCTTCCTTTTGTGGTATTGAACCTTTTTTTAAATTTCATAGAGATGATTAGAGATCCATACACTTAAACTTAAGTTATTGTCCAGAACCAAATGTCTACTGATGACGACGCCGACGTGATAGCATTATACGAACACAAATTTTTTCGCGGTCAAAAATATGGTATCAAATTTGATGCAGTGGTGGAATCTATTTATAATATACATATCAATCTAGCTAGCACATGTATAAAAAGGTAAATGTAAAATCCAATTTCAGGAGACCATTTAAACCAAGTTGACCCATCACAGAGTTATCGGACCACATCATGCAAGGGAGATAACTAACATTTTACATGCTACACCTGTAGTCTACCAATACCTTTAATCAACATGCTTTACTATTAGCTCTGTTATTTATATTAATAATCTACCCATTACTCCAATATACATAGTCATTCTAACCTACTGTATCAACATAGAAGCATGAATACACAGCCTGTCACATGATCGCTTCTGATTTCCATATATTTAATACACAGCCTGTCACATGATCGCTTCTGATCTACATATATTGAAATATATGTATCAGGTAAATATTACTTCACACTTACAAAGTTTACAGGGTTTCAGCTTTATAATGAATGTGTTACATTAACAGTTGATGTGATTTTTCTTCAGACAGATGTTTATCTACACCTTTTGATAAACTAGGTCTTTAGTTTATCATACCTTCATCAGGTAGAAGCTTGGTGTGGTGGAACTGTGCTAATTTAATGTGAAATGATTGTTGGTAATTACAGGGTGACAAGTTCTTGCTTTATCAGGACAAGTTAATTTAAACTAGAACAAGTTCATGTAGCAGTGAAGCATATCTGTTATACTACTATGGGTTTATGAGTAGTCTGCTGAGTTGAATGTTGTGAAATACCAGTTTTCTTATTAAAGATTTAGCTATTAACCAATCCTTCAAGGCGTGTAATGTAGGTCATACAGACAAAATAATAACAGAAATGTAATATACCAAATGTATTCAAGGCATGGAATGTAGATCATACTGACCAAATAATAACACAAGTGTAATCTACCAAAGTTTTCAAGGCATGTAATGTAGGTCACACTGACAAAATAATAACAGAAGTATAATCTACTGTATTAGGAATATATCAAAGGAAAAATCAATGATATATCATCATGGAATCTTCAGAAAAAGTAAAATAAAGACACAATAAATATTTAACTTAATCAAGACAAGAAGTGCACCATTTTGCCTGTTACACAGCAACAGTGATGAATTTAAAAAAGGACCTTCCATCCATTGCTTCTACCATGGTTTGGTCCAATTTGCCCCATTAATTTAACAGATATGATGAAAATGAGAAAGGTCAATGATGCACAGATGGAACACTGGTGCAATTAGCTATGGCAAAATTACAATCCAAACCATTGGATTATCTTAATCTGTATCAATTTTGATGTAAATCATCATGTTTTAATATATTTTACATCAGAAAACCAGAATGTATTGTAAATATATAACATACAACTATTTCAATAACATCATCTTCACTATTTCAAACTAGATCAAACTTAATATTTGTAGAGCCTGAAGGGACATGTATATCAATATGTACAGTGAGAAAAAATAACAATGGATGACTAAAGTTAACCTGCACTGAATACAGTATAGAAACTGTTAACATGAAAGTTAACCATCCAATACATCATGTACATGTGGAGGGTTGTATCAGGTCTATTTACTTTACACATTCTATTGTCCAGTCTTAAAGATACCAGAAATTGATACTTAAAATTAGCGTTTTAATATATGAACATGTATGAAATGTATCTTAGTTTATTAAAACAGACGTACAAATACATGACAGTTACATGTTCATGTGACTTATTTTACAAAGGTAAATTTAAATATAAATTTGTACAAAGATTCATGATTAAGGGCAATGCATTTTCAGTAAAATAGTACTGTATTCCAACAAACCAACAAAAAGCATGTACATTTTGATAAGTCTGGAATCTGAATTTGAATCAAACAAATTTATAGGCACTGTCATTTTTTTCTGATCATGAAGAAAAACAATCTTCTGTCGTGATGACCATTCTTTCAAATACAAAGCTACCATTGGATTCTATACATGAATAGAGGTACACACTAAGTGATTCAGGTCTTATTGGTGTGGAGTGAATCATAGTCAGTCAGGGTAATTGCTGGTGATTACAGGTGATAACACTCTGATTTAACACCTGGCAATGGTATACAGAGACTCAGAGAGATATATTAGCGTGAATCACCTGCTATCCCCAGCATTCACAACACAACTGATTTTTACTGAATCCCATGGTGTGAATTGTGTATAAAGAGTAACTCAATTTTCAACAGTTAACATTTATAAGTTAATATTTTAATATGATCAAGCATTTCTCACAAATCAACATATATAGCACTGAAGCTGAAGCTTTGGATGACTTGATCATGATACAGTAAACATTAGTACCAGCACGAGCGCTCTAATCTGATACATCCCTGCAGGTACTTTTAAGCTGCATATAAACATCATTCCTACATGTATATGTACAAATTGCAGTATAATCACACAGAAAGGACTATTACATGGTATGAGGTATGAACTCCTTTGAACTTCAGAGTTGCTGCTTTTCTATAAACTCCTGTCATTAAGGCAGATTACTACATACCCTTATGTTCTTTCACAAAATTCATCAATGATAAATTTCAAAGTGAAGGTTCATTGGAAGATGCATATAGTTTAACATCAATTTTGGGGTGTTATTTAATTTGCTTACTTTTCAAAACAAGTTTAAGTTAAGTTATAATCTATATCATTCTTGAATATACAAACAAGCAACCATACAATTTGTACTAAAAAGAATGTATAAAGTGAAAGTACATATCAAGAAGCAATAATTATCACTGAAAAATGGAAAGATGTTCATACCTCATGTTTTGTTAGTATGATGTTAGGATTATTTTGTAAGTAGTTTGAGTCAGGATAGCTTGAAAATGAAGCGAAACTTCAAACTCACCGTGGAAGATTTGCACCATTTAGGTGTCTGAATAATCTGAAAAGGGGATGGCAGGTTTAAGGTCAAGGACAGAAGACTATTATGTTTCCCAGACAAAAATGGAAGATTACAGAAAAAAACTTTTAAATAAAAACCTCAATCATGTAGTGCAAAGATCTCTACTTTTTTTCCATTTTATAATATTCGAACTATTTCTTTTTCACTGGTTTTGTATGTATATACATGTATATGCTTAATGCATACATTTCTTTTCTTTAATAGTAAACAATTTCAGTCAAAAAACCTGGTTTATGTAATTAAAATGATTCATTGTTGACTGTTTTGATTTCTGTATCAAGACAAAAGGATGTTTAACAACATAAAAAGCTATGTTTACATTAACACTACATGTACTTGAGGACTAAAGAACTAAAATATTTGAACTAAAATTAAATAATAACTATACTATAACTGTTTGTTAAAAGCATGGACTATCTATGGATAAAAAAGGAGTGAAAAGACAAAAGATAAAATTAGCAAAATAAACAACATTAATTAAAATCATGAGTGACCACACAGCCAATTTTAAACTTTCAAAGGGAGATAATCTTCAAATGACAATGTACATGTTCTTCACAGTAACACATGATTACAGGTACTGGCTATCATTAAAATAAATTTTGTAAGTTACAGATACATGAATACCCAGGGCTTCACATTTTTCTATTGGTTGAAGGGTTCCAGATTGTCAATTTATCATTCTCATAAGTCTACCTTCCTTTGTTAAAATTCAATTTACATTTATGATGTCAATAAACTTTGTTTAGAAATTATGTAAAATATATGCACTAATAATAATTAGTCTATATGTAGTAGGATAGACACCCCATCCATTTATAATAATTTTACATACATTTTTACTAGACATCTACTAGACATCTTTATATCTGAATTAATAACAGTATCTGGACAATAAATAACCCTTGTTCTTTGTAAATTGTTTTGTTATAAATTAGGCCGCAAGTCAAAATGCAAGTTTTCTCAATTGAATTGTTTCATATTTTTCATGTCGGGCCTTTTATAGCCGCCTATACCGTATGGGTTTTTCTCATTGTTGAAGGCTGTACAATTGCCTATATAATTGCTTACATCCACTTCATTTGAACTTTGGTGGATAGTTGTCTAATTGGAAATTATACCACATCTCCTTATTTTTGTCTTGAATAAAGGTAGGATTTTATTTTTTATAAGGCAAAGAAAACTCACATATCTGCAAGAAGAAAATTAAGTTCAGGTAAACAAAAAACATAATAAAGGGGATATTTATATATGTCAATGTAAAAGATAATCTGTTGTAAAATAAATTGCCTAACAAAAGTGCACTTTTTCTAAGACTGTTCCCCTCGATCTCTGTCCTCAGTTTCTAGCTAGAAAACTGTTGAACCTTGACTAACTTTTACCAAAATCAAAATGTTTTGTTCATATCCAAGGCCAATTATCTTCCAAAGATTGCTAAAGATCTTAATTATAGCTCACAAGATAATAAGTTGTCCTGAATTAATTTTTCCCAAAATGCAGTTTACTGTGCACTATGACCTTGATCTTTGATACAAAAATCAATAGGGGTGCTTAAATTTCCTGTGGACATTTACAAGGTTAGTTTGAGGAAGGTTTGATATATATATGGTTCAAAAGATATCATCTGGAAACTAAAATTTTGAACCAAATTCAGTTTACCAATAACTGCTACATGTATGATCTATACCACCAACCTACTGACCCCAAAAATAATAGAGGGTCTTCTTCAATCAATTATCAAACTAAGTTTGGAATCAGTTGGACATACATGTATGGTTCAAAAGAAATTCTTTTATAGATAGAAAGATTTGGTTTTAATGTTTGGTTGTACAATGTACATTTGTACGTGTAGAATTCTTATATAAACTGTGATATCACATCCTAATTTTTATGGTAATGTTGTTATAAAGCATGCAAATTTAAATATGATTTATTGTTCCTTTGAATTAACTTATTTGTAAAGGATATTATTTGAACACTGAAGCAAGATCTTTGAACAAGGCTTTTATAGGTACACACACTTGATTTTTTTCTGGATAAATTAAAACATTAATTAATGCATGTACATGTATGTAATGCTTTTCATTTATGAAAACTTATGGTCCTTAATCCTGTCCATATTATGCACTTATATTTCCGAATCACACAAGGTTTTCCTCAGACTGTCTATGACTTCTTTACACCAAATTTGGATGTGTATTGATTAAATCTTCAGTCTGGGAGAGCCTGATTTATTGTATTGGTTGTTATTGGCTTTGTTGAACTAACTTTCAGTAACAGTGGTACATTTGTACTTGATTCAATACTTTGTGTCGTTTGGTACATGTATATGTTAGTAGTTTATGTGCTTCATCCATGCTGATCTGGTGAGTCAAGCCATTTGAAACTGATTTTTACAGTTTGTAGTTTTACTGTCACAACATTGTCCCTGGTAAGGGGAAGGTTTAGAGCTCACAAGCATATTTATCCCGGTCACATTCTTTATGTGTCTGTCCCAAGTCAGGATCCTGTAATTCAGTGGTTTGTGTTCTTGCTCATTGTTGAAGGCTGTAAGGGGACTTATAATTGCTTAAATCCACATTATTTGGACTCTATTGGATAGTTGTTCTCTTGGCAATCATACACATAAGGAAGTAGTCTGATACTTGTGCTGACAATTTACAGCTCATCACTCTAAAGATGCTGACCAAATATGAGAAAAGGGTGACAGAAATATTTGTTGGATAAACAGACAGACAAAGTGAATACATTATAGCCTCCACTTTTAATCCTAGAGTGGGGATATAAAATGATCATTTAAGAAGAGGTTGATGAATGGTTTCAGTCATAGTGACATTTTTTGTAAATATTGAATATCCGATCGCTTTGCTTATTACAGTTTCTGATTAACTTTTATCAATTATTGTTTTTTATGTTAATAAAAATAAAGGCTTATATTGATCTTTGAAAAAGTTTACAGATGACATACAGGTATATATGCCAACATGAACATGGCCAAGTGATGGTTATAATTCATGTTCTTATCTAAAATGTAGTTACTATAGGTTCTCTATTGGCTTTTGTTCATGATCGAGTTAGTATTTTAATCTAAAATAAAATTCAAAGTTACAATCATTGTGTTCATTATTTTGTTATCAAACTGTTTCATATTTTCAAATGAAGGGCTTATCAAATGCAAGTAAATATAAAATTAAGAAAGGTCTTTTAACCAGGGCTTCCAAAATTATTTTTAGCCATATGGACATTTTATATATTATCCTGATTTTAATCCCTTATGACTAAATAAACAAAAGGCAATTATGGTAATCAGTTGCCGAGTTGGCCATCCCAATGATTGACATTAAAATAAAAACGATATTAAACTTTCTTTGATTCAAATTCGAAGTTCTGACGTAAACTGTTAAAGTGGCAGTGCATCATTCTAAGTGTGCAACATCAGCGTACTTATATCTGCCTTAGACTCTTTATTTGTGCAAAATAACGTTATCAAAAACTTTACTTTCTTTTTTAAATATAATACCAGATGTTATCTTGACAATGGTTAAACATGGACCAGCGACGGATACGTAAATTCCGTGTATGTTTGCAAATCATGAATGATTGTAAGTAGCTCTTTCTGCATTATTTCTTCAAGAAAATATTTGAAACAAACGTGAGATAAAGGTATCAATGACAATTTAAGCATTTTTTGAAGAAATTAGGATGCATAATCAAATTTCACACCTGTGCACACGTGTACTAGTTCAAACAGAGACATGTCTCTGGTTCAAACAACGTGGTTATGACGATTTTTCAGTTTCACCTTTTTAACTTTTTCATCAAATCATATTTGTAAACGTATTTCTGAAAATTTAAATCTTTTTGACTAAATTAATTAGATGCAAACTGCTGAAATGTAAGAAAATAACTTTGAACAGACCGATCAATGTCCGGTTCAAAATAGTTTACCTGTCACCTGAACAGGTAAATTTCAGATGTTGGACAACTAATTAGCCTTGATTAAAATGAGAAGGTATTAAAGTAGGGGTTGTTTTGATAGTACTTAAATATAATGATCATGTCACTTTTATGACCGGAAATGTGTGGCTGTTAAAGGCAAAAGGTTGGGTCAAAAAGATCGCGATTAATGTTAAAATGACTGTCTCTTAAGAAAGCCTTGAAAACTAAAAAGTAGATGACCATTTCATGCTTTGCCCAGCCAAACTTTTACCTGACATTATACAAATGTCCGGAATATATGACCGTTTTGGAAGTCTTGCTTTTAACCTATTAAAATACAGAAAGCAGATTTTTTTCATTAAAAAAAAACACAGAGATTTAGCTTTTGGTGTCCCTTTCCATTGATTTGCATACTGATTGAAGTAAAACATCATTGTGCCCTTTTCTAATTCTTGACAAGACACCTCTCCATCCCAACAGCGTAAAAACATACCAAAACCATTCATTTCATTGTGGTACATGTACATAAAACCTTACATTCAAATGGTTTACTTGCATGACTAGCGTGTGATCACTCAATAATTAGTATTATAAAACTGGTATATTGTTAAATTAAAGCAACTTATAAAACAGAAAAAGAATTGCAGCTTACCTCCTCCAACTGGTGTCTGGTGGTGGTGACAAATACGCAGAACCATAAGGGGAACAATTTGTCTGAAATAGTAAATCTTATCGTTACAACTGTTCAACATGGTGCTTTAAAAGTGGTCTTGATCTTTTAAATGCCACTTCAGGAATTTGTATGCAAAAATCAGGTGATAGGGGTATGAAAATTACAGGGCTAAGTTAGTCCAAAAAAAATATATGTTTGTTTAAGGTTACATCATGAAAAAAATAGGTTCACGATTGTGAACACTTAGATGTATCAGGCAATTGATTTATTTTATTGGCAACTCTTAACTTCGCTTTTGAAACAAGTTCAGTTAATTTGTCACTTTCAATGGGAATAAAATGACTTAGGGTAGACGCTCAAAAGTAAGGTCAGTCGTGTAACCGTAAACAGAAACATATATGTTTTTTGGCCTTAGCATGATTTTAAATAACTCTAATAAACTCGGTTCTTTTACTAGAATTTAAAGAGTGCTATAAGAATCAATGTTTACATATATATAATCAAATGAAAAGTTTGATAATACTGCAGAGTGCATTTTGGGGTACTTGTCTATGACAAAAAAAAACCACCAATAAAACAAAACTATAAGACATCCTATGGCCAACATATCGTTTCTTGAAAATATCCAAATGTTCATAGAAAAATTCAAGTTTGCTGATAACTTTTTACATCACAGAACACTTGAGTAATTGTTTTGCAAAATCAATTAGGTCAAGTCAGACAAATTGCATCAAACTGTAATAAAGCTATGGAACATATATATAGATAGATATATATGTCAATCTCTTATCCAAACCTATTCTAGACAATCTATCGATAGATTAAACAGAAACTAGATATGCCATAAGCACAAAGTCAGCAATCCCTTGCACTATTTAGTAATAAGTTCACATAATTTTAATACTCAGTATGCACAGTTTCTGAAAGCTAGTTCAAAGTCCTTAATTTTTAACTTATATGATGCTAACAGATACTATATTTTTCCCAGGAACATATGTTTTCCCAGACTTAAATATCAAAGAACTTTTCATATCTTGTGTGCAAAATTATGTCAGTGTGACATCAACTTAAATGAAAGAAACAAAAGAGATGCATTTTTCCTGAAGAACCTATTTGTAAGACTGGTAAAATTTATATATTTAAGATAATAAAATGTGTGTGTACCCTTGCTTTATCTATTGGAAATCCTCGTCTGTGTGGACCGAGTGGTCTCCCCTTGTCTCTGACTGCATGGAATCTACTGTCCATCCGGTTTGGCATCTGTCTCAAATCATCCAAATGCTGAAATGCACTCTATCAAATAAATGAGAACAATTTAAATGATGTACCAAAAGAATTATATTTCATTACTATAAACAATAAAATGTAAACAATAATCACACGAGACAACAGTTATGTCAACATCGTAAATATCTCACCTGTAGATCTATACCGGAATTTGCCACCATCTGGTTGACATTTGGTAAGGACCCGGCTCTATACTGTGTACTTATGTTTTGTTGGAGTTGAAGATGCTGCTTTTGCATCGACGGGACCTACATATAAATAAATAACAGCGAAAATTAGTTCATGTTGACAAAACACGATTCATAAGTCGACATAATTTAGAATGCTACCGATAAGGCGTTTCAAGCGACAATAATAACAAACCTTCGTAACAGGCGTTACATCCCGCATTATTGCTTCGAAAGCAGCAGTTTCTTCTGCTTGTTTTTGATTGTGTAATGCTATTTTTTCACTGAACTTCCGTGGATTCGCCATGATGGCAGAAAAGGACAAGCTTGTTATGATTTTGACTTCGCAGGGGGCCTAATCTATTGTTATCCAATCAAATCCATCCGTGTAATACATGTGATCTTTGATAGGTGGCAGCACAACAAGCACCTGCTAATCTGTATATATGCTGAATTTTCATAATTTAAAAAAAAATCAGTTACACTAATGTCTTTATCAGTTATAATTTCATCTTGAGTAGTGACATGAAACATCCTATCAAAAGGATGGCGGTTTAGAACCTCTATATCATTTCATATCCAATGTCGTTCTAACCAATCACTGTAATTAAGATTATGTGCGATTAATTCATGTGTATGAATACATTTATATTGATCCTAGGTTTTAATAATATATATATATATATATATATAACAGGGGCGGATCCGGGATTTTAGGTTACGGGGGGGGGGGGGGGGGGTGCAAACTTAAATTTTCGAGGTAATATCACCGAAATATTCTTTATTAAGCTGAGGACAACCCTTGCTTTGCAATGTAAAAAAAAAAAAAAAATTGGTGGGGGAGGGGGGCGCACCCCCGCCTGAATCCGCCCCTGATATATAATATAAAAGTCTAAATTGAAAACAACGTTCAAACCTATATATATATATATAAAGTGTTATGAATGATTATTATGCCCAGCAATGGGCGCCACAATAGACGGCCGCTCAATGAAATATCTTGTATCTATCTGCATCACAACTGTGGTATATATAAGTTCCAAGAGCTCTGAAAAGTGTCATAATATAATTATTATTGTCTCTAGGACTACTTTATAACATAGTAGTCTCAGCTAGATTGTCTTAATCTGAATTCTTAGCAGTGGCGGATCCCGGGGGCAAGGGTTTAGTCAAAATGATTGTAAATAGGAATATCCCGAAATATTTCAAGAGCTCCATAATTCGAATTCAGGATACGCATAAATCCTTGAGGACCACCTGAAATATTTCAGGAACTCTATAATTCGATTTCAGAATGTCCTGAAATATTTCTGGATTTAGGAACCACCATAATTTGATTAAAAGATAACATGAAATTGAATTGTAAATTAAGATCCTGAAATTTGTCACGACCTCCTTAAATATACCCAACACTAACAAAAGAAACGCACCACCTACATTAATTTCTTTGGAGGAAACATTTCTATTGCATATAAAAAAAATCAAAATGATTGAAATTTGTCAAAATTTTACACAACATTTCTGAAACACCAAATAATGTGAAAATGAGAATTTTATATTTTTTTTTTAATTTTTGATATCTTAAAAAACACCTTTTAACAAAAAAAAGAATGTTGCCAATTTTGCGAAAACTAAAGTCGCGTATAACTTTTCACATGAAAAAAATACAATCGAAAATGACTTTTATTTTTAATTTCTCATCCGAATTCTTGTCTAATGACAATTTGAAATTGACTTATCTCAGACTTTTAATTTTTGACCTTTTTGATTGCTTTCTCTATGGTGCCACTAAAATGATTTTTTTTTAATGTAAACTCTGTATTAATTTCAAGGTTATGCTTAAGATATTATAGATTTCTACAAATGTGTAGCAAAAGCAAGAAATTGTGAAACTTCTATGGTAGGATGGTATGTTCTAAGTATAAAATCATTTAGGAAATTGTGGAGATCCTGAAATATTTCAGAATTTTCTTCAAATACAATAATTAAAATAATCATGACTTTAAGAAATGACAAGAAAAGTAAATACACCACTGCTTCAAGGATATTCACGTGTTAAAAAACCGCATTCCGAATATAAATTCAACCGCCGTCAATCAAAATTCCCCTTCTGAATTTATCACTTTTCACAATTGTGTCAAAGGTGGCAAAGCAGCTGCAGCCAGATTATTAAATTAAAATGCACGTAGATATCCACAAATATTCCCGTGCAATGCCGGAATATGACTAACCTGCTCTACATTATCTTATAATAATTCTGTTAGGTCAACAGCGAACGGGAGAACTATTTCACTCTCATTTTCCTGTGACATTACATGAAAAACTTAAAGCCTCATTTATCTCTTGCTTGAACAAAACCAAAGTGTGTTATGCAATATCTAGGACAAACAGGACGGGATTTTTTTTAGACGAACGCAGGAACATCTATACTGCTTCCGAAAACCTAAGAAATTCAGAAGTATAATATACATGTACTAACATTTAGGAAAACACAATCACAATATTAAACTAATAAAATTCCAACCTCTCGAAACGATCCCGAAACAACCAGGGCAATCGCATAAACAATTTGAAGATTCCCGTAAACTTATCGCACTGTCTTAGATTTAATGACTGTAGACATCATATCCCATTGGTCTAAATGACAATAAAATGGGACAAAGGAACATATATTAAACGTCTTCTATTGATATCATGAATATTGTTGATAAAAGACAACGTGACAATAGGTCTCATGACAAACGTATAAATCGAAATCAACGAATTAAACATCGTTCACATTATACACTTGACGATCTTCTATCTATATTCAAAAACAATGGTAGACATCAATTATTATGTAAACTGGGTCAATTACCGAGTAATAAATTACATGATATTTTCAAGGGGTGTGACACAATCTCGTTTTTGAGCCCACTCTATGATGTACACGTATCATTTCAGCTTTTCGTCACCATATGTTGTTCCCGCGTATCGATAAACGTGAACATCATAAACGGCCTTTTCTGAAAATTAGATATATTAACAGAGATATTGATTTTATCGTCTTATCTAGTATACTTAAGGACTCTACCATTTAAAACTTTATACCTCCTTATTTTGATTAACACAGAACCACCTATTATTTCTTATACATACACATAAACCAGCAGAAGTTTAATTTTTAGATATACGTCAGTAGCATCAGACGTCAGTGTAGAAAATAATACTCCTCTAACTTGAGACTGTGAATCGTTGAGTTTTAGATATGATCCCCATGGCCCGGTGTTATTACGGGGACCTCAATATCGTTCAAGACCGAGAGGTTAAAAACCTTTTGAAAAAATGACCAAAATATCGTCCTACATTTAAAGAAAGATTGGAAACAGTGTCGTCATGTCACAAAAGACTCTTTCAAGTACTTGCAAAGCGGTTTGTGTTTGTACCGGCTGAAAAAGCAACCAACACTGTGGTGGTGGAATGACGTAATTACTACACGGAAAATTTTAAGAATTAAATTATAGATTCTTCTACATTCAGTTCCGTGCGCTCCACAGAGAGTCATATATTTAACAATCATATCATAACCACATCACAGCTTAAGGCGACTTCTGAACATTGAAGGCCCCTACTATGATAACCTAAACTGCCAAAAAAAACCCCACAAAATATAGTCTCATCTCGGTCTGTAGTAAGTGTTCTACAACTAATGTTTCAGTGCTATTAACTAGTCCCTTAACCACTATCAAAGAAGTTATCAACTTTTGTAATAAATCATATGAAAATAGTGGAATTAACTATTTTTGGAGAGTAAAAAATTCTTTGGATGTTTTAGATAAATTACATGCTTTTTTTTTGCTTCGTGTTGAAGCCCTCACTGTGACTTTGAGATGAAAAACAGCGCTGATCCTTTGCTTTTTGTGTGTGTTTTTTACTGTGCATGTACTGATTTTGTGTCATTGATGGATATTCCATATCCTTTGTTTTTCTATTATTTTGATGGTTCATTTGATTCTGTTGACAGTTTTGACTTTTCAACTCTTTACACTTCACTTCCATACAATATTATCAAACATAAGTTTTCTTATATATATGATTAAATAGTCGTTTGAAATATCTGATTTCAAATATATTTGCTGCAACCCATTTAAACCCTTCTCCTTTAACGTGAAAGGTAAATTACTGTAGGTGTGATGAGATGATCGAAGCTGTTAATTTTCTCCTTGGCAACATTTATGTACGTTTCGGCAATAAAGTTCACATCAACAGGTTGCAGGTATTCCTACATGCACCAATTGCGCCCCTTTGATAGCAGACTTATTTTTGTACTGTCATGAATCACATTTTATAGCCAAACTCAGTAAAGACCCATCTAAATTGCATTTACTAGTAATTGATAAATTCAACAACACTTACCGTTATCTTGATGATATATTTTCGTTAAATAATCAAGAATTTTCAAAATATACCACCGAAATTTACCCAAAGGAACTTACATTGAATAAATCACGTATACACGGTAATAACTGTCTTTTTCTGGATTTAGATACTTCAGTTTTATGGGAAACTCTACACACAAAATTACGACAAAAGGGACGATTTTTCGTTCCCTATTATTAATTTCCCCCTATTTTGGACGGCGATGTTCCTTTGCCACCATCTTACGGTGTTTATAAATCACAACTCGTTCGCTATGTCCGTGTTTGTAGTGACGTTTTGTATTTCGATAAACGTAATCTATGTATTACTGGTAAATTATTATTTCAGGGATTTTGATATCACAAACTATTTAAAACCTTTACTAAATTCTTCCATAGATACAAATATTTGTTTTGGAAGTTTGGCTGTACCTGTATTTTCAAACGGGAAAGCACATCCTTATTTTTACGGAGATGTTGTTTACCGAGCCCGGAAATTTAAATAAGATCCGGGTAAACTTATCCATCCTTTAAATAAACTTATTCTAAAAGGTTACCAATTCAACTTTGAATATTGGGTATATTGGTATAAATATTGATTTTGTTATCAGTAAATTAAATCCAAACTGAATATTATTGTTATATACATATGCACTTTCACGGTTCTACAATCTGTTGATACCTGTATCTTGGCATTGCACAAGGTCATGTTTTTCTCTGACTATTAATGACATCTTCACGCTAAATCCATTGGATGTTGGACGTGTACTGGTTGATATTTCAGTCTTAGATACATGATTTTATTAGTTGTTACTGGCTTTGAAAGTATCTGCGAGTACTCTGAGATCTGTATTTAATGTCTTTTTTATTGTGGGGATGTATAAATACCCTGCCACGTCCGGTCTGTGTTTTCGTTTGATGTTTTCTGCTTTTTATCGATC